TAATATGTATCAGATCTTCCGTTGGTTTACAACAGCCGCTGTCATCCCCGTCGTCTTATGGTTTTGTACAACTCCTCCAGCATTATTGTTGTCCTATATTGGACCGCATCCGGCGATGCGAAATTCCATGTCATCCCATTTACACTAATATACAAGCTGAATTTGCTTTAGCTGCGATCATAATACAGGGTTCTTGGGATCGTATCGGACTTCGGAGGTTTCATTTTTCAATTCGTTTTGTGGCGGAGTCAGGTTTCATATGCACCCTCGCTTCCGTCTTCCTGCTCTGTATCTATGATTCGCCGAGCTGGTCTCAATACCCTTTGTTATAATCTCCGACATGGTACGTTATAAACTAAATGGATAGGTTCTCAATTATTGTCACAGGAGTGTACAGGAAGCGTCGCGATGGTGAAATCTTAGAACGATAAAATTGAAAGCCGCATACAGAATGAGGGGAGGCATCGAAAAGGGGACTCTACACATTCCCATCTCTGGAATCACACACGATATACGATCGGAGGTCGAAACATTCGCGTGAGGCGGAATCCACCTCCCTCAATTCAACTGTTGTCGAGAACCAGAGATTGGACCTGGAGCAAAATGTACATTGAAAGTCTACGGCTTGTCGTTAAACCTCATGGATTTCCCCCCTCTTTTGTAGTTCATTATTTAATACCACGTCCGGAAAAATTAGTGTTGAAGCTTCGCCGTGACCTTGTGGTTCGCTGCCTTCCGTTATTTCATAAATAAATGAAATCGGTATGTACTTGCCAAGAGTCTGTGACATGGAGTGACGCGTTATGAAGCACGGTCGCGGTGCACGTGATGTGAACCAGTCCGGCGTCAACAAACGACGGGCCTCCCAACGCGTCTCTGCCCCTTTCCCTCATCTACATCGCCCTCCAACACATCAACGCACTACATGCCTCGCAAGGCTGCAGCAGCATACACAGACGCTCAGGCTGAGCCTCGTCGCTCATCCCGGATAAAAGAGCAACCTAAATCAGAGCCAGCGCCTAAGAAAGCCACCAAACCCCGGGCTAAGAGAACTGACAAGGAGAAACAGGAGGCTGAGAAGGCCGAAGATAAAGAGAAGGAAGATAAGCCCAAGCCAGCAAAGAGCAGGAAACGCAAGGCGGCCGATGAACCCAACGGTGTTCAGGCCGAGGCTGGGGCTGAGGCTAAAGGGGCTGAGGTCGAAGAGCCAGCCACGAAAAAGGCATGTCTTGCAAAATCTGCAAACCCGTTATTATTGAATATTCATGCCACAATCTATATAGGCCAAACCAGCATCGAAAGCTAAAGAAACTCCGTCGAAGCCGTCTTCAGCGGCCGCTGCTAAACCCACTTCAAAAGTAACCGCCAAACCTGCCTCAAGGGCAGGATCCGCAAAACCTTCGTCTCGGGCTGGATCGAGGAAGCCTATATCCAAGGTATGCATCTTTTCCAGGATGTAGTTGTGCATGTGTCCTCATGCAACATAGGCTGAGGCCAAGAGCGCAGAGGCTGCCCATGCGCCCAAGGATGTTGAACCTATCACAGAAGAACCTGAGGCTGAGGCCGAGGCCGAGGCCACTGCAACTGAAGCGCCGGTTGAGGCTGCACCCGCCGCGGTACTTGCGTCATGAATTATCCTCTGATTCGTCATCTTACACCTTGACAGGCATAAACACATTTATCGTCTTACTACTACGCAATCTATAGAACACAAATTCCAGGCTGCTAGGCGTCTGTACCAAGACAGGGCAGCTTCTGGTTCTACCTTAAACTCTCACAACTGACGCATATCTATTGGATCTGAGCCCAATACGTGTAATAGTTGAAAAACTTGTCATGGTATTGTTATGTTCTTCTAGCCGTTTATTTCTATTATTTCAGCACTCTTATCTATTATCCATCATTTACTGGCTACCACCTTGTATGTATGCATCAGATTCATTGTTGGTGTATCCGTGCATTCCTCCCTCTCCCGATCCCTAGTATTTCAGCTGTCCGTCCATTATTTCATTCCGTAGTCTGTAATACGAGCTAAAATTTACTTGTACCAATTGACGATCATATCAAAACGATTGGATGTGACAACCCCTTTTTAGATTCCATTCCTGAGTACTCAGTGAACCATCTAAGCCACACGCTCGTATACCCTAGAGTCGAGGGCAGCCTAAGAGCGTGACGAACTGCGTAATAACGTGTCACAACTCACTGCGCCAGAATTCATCCATGGCAACTTCGAGGGGCCGGGTTGAAGATACCTATGAGGCCCAAAATGACCAACGGCTAGACGAACTCCACTCTAAAATCCGCACTCTACGTGGTGTAAGCCGTTTACCAACCTCTGTCACTCGACGAAACTAAAACCCCAGCTCGTGCCCCACGTATATAGATTACATCCGACGTTTACGACGATGCGGAAGCTCAGAATGTTATGTTGGACGAAACGGTGCGTGTTCCTCTGTTTCTTATCCCCTCAATGGCCTGCTGACGCTGGTGGCGTCTTGTTCGTCAATAGGGCGATAGCTTTTCTTCATTCTCGATGACCTTGAAGCAGACATCACGCAAAGCAGTGCAAGCCTTCGGAATTGGCACAGGTAGCCTTAAACCGTGGCGAATAGCAATGCTCATTGTGGGCCTTTTCATCACGTTTTGGTTCGTCTCCAAGATACTGTCGTGGTGGTGGACTCCCGGAAGCACATGACGAATTCGGGTTATTTTACTACCCATTCTTCGATTTCTCCATGATATGACTATACCCTCGCTCATCATATGCGGTTATGACTGCTGTAATTGTAGGATAGTCTGGAATCTGGATAATCAAATGCAACGTCCTTCCAAGACCGAGACCTACGCTACGCTACGGCGGCCTCAGATCACATGACGTATTCTCTCCTTTCCGCTGTTTCCTATATAACCCTGGATAATAAAATAACGAAACTTGCCGCGACCCCTCTAGGCCTCATTCCTCCACGTCCGAACTATGCAGCTGTCCGAACTCAAAGCACCCAACTCGTTCCCCAGCATCCGAGATATCACGCTTTATAATTACATGTTGCCAACAGGGTCAACCATCATCAACAGCACTCTTCGTACGTCCGCCCAGTCCATTCCAGCAGTGCCGCAATGTTGACATTCCCGTAAAGGCAGCTCATCACTGGAAGGTTGAAGGTCGATAGCTGACTTTTTCCAACTACTTGACTGTGTTATCCGCTTTACAACCCCCGGTGACTACAAACTGCAAAAGCTCGACGACACGCTCAGTCCATTGGCCGATCCTCCCGTCGAACGATCATCTTCGGGAAACATTGCAGCCGGGAACTACCTTATCCGCAAGTTTCCTTGAGTTAACAGTTGTTCCTGATTCTGACTTCTCTCTAGTGCCTTCAGTTGAGGGTGGGCAGATCATGTTCTTGTCTCTCAACACGTTTTCCAACGTACAAATCGACTCACCTACGGTGAAGAGATTAAAACGCGATACAAGTGAATCGTGCAGGGTAAGATTGCACCTTTGCCCGCATCTAGTAATTTCTAACTTGTAACAGGATTCCTCGGAGGACAGCCAAAGCTTCAAGATGAGACTCGTTAATAGAGACAAAGGATGTGTGGTCTGTTTGGCAACTGGGATCCAGGAAACCTACAAATACCTTGAAGACTCTAGTCGTTACGAGGGGGCACATATCATCGGCTTCGCTTATCGAGACATAGTAAGCCGCTATCCTTGCAATTCTCCGTTACCTTTTAACTTATTCCGTCATTGTCAAGTGGGACACCCAAAGATTTTCAGAACTCGTCAAAGATCCTTTCACCGATCCCAGCAACGCCAACTGTCAGCTTGCGAGTCCGAGCACACGGTCAAAGAAGGATTTCAGGCGAATCAACTCCCTGGAGAATGGGATCTTGTTGTGCGTGGCGCATCATAAGGATTTCGACAATTTTCGCTTTGCAATTCATCATGAAGTCAAGACCCCTTTCCCTCCTTACACGATATCTAACTTTCTTTTGAGCAGACTCGCAAAATATATGCTTTCCATCCAGACAGTGCGGCACTCCAGGACGTCGAAGTGAAGGCCCCATGGGACAGCCCAAACGTGCTCTTCCCTCCTCCGCATCCCCTTTTCCTCAATATGCACTACTCAACATCCATTGCAAAGGCTTTGAAGGCAAGTGGGGATGATGATGAACTGGATGACGACGATGAAGACTATGAGGGCCTCTCCGAATTAGAGGAAGTTCAGGACGAGGAAGTCTTCAAGGTGATTTGACGCCGAGCACGTCATTTGACTTTACGGCGGATAGCAAAGGCAATACCAGGATGTTGGCTGATATGCGGGTTGTCAACGTCTGAATGGCACATTCCTTTTCCTTAATTCCATTTTTGGCATGTACATTAGATTTCATCTTGGCGATGAATTTTATTGAGTCGCTCGGCTTTCTATATTATAAACTATGCGATTTCGAGCGGAAATATCAGTCGCCTTCACATCTTTATCTCTTTTGGGACGTTCGTCGTCTTTTATTTTAACCCCGTATTCCGAGGCCGTAGTGAAGCACCGCAGGTCTTCGAACCTTATGTAATGGCATGTGTAGCCCAAACCAGTTTATCTTGTAATCCCCATGGTATCAACACAGTATTGCGCCACTCGACTATCCCCTCCACCATCAAATATCTAAAAATCCTTTTACTTTTCCGTCTAGTAGTGCCCCTCGTCCGTGCCTACCTCGTGTTGATAGATGAATTACAAGATACCAACCGAACTCCGTAGGGGACATTTTTCATCTTCTCTGCGGTGAGCCTATCGCTCTCCATGATTTGAAGGGCCGTTGGACAGGTTTGCAGGCAGGGTGGCGTTTCTGTCCAACGTCCAACCCGTCTTTCTCCCTGTGGTCTCGGCACATCGCTTTGGCTTCTTGCCTCCCTTTCTTAACTCTATTGAACGGAGATATCCACCATATATTGGTTGCAATATCCGGCCGAGGTAGTCTCTTGTCTACCGTTTATACTGTGCCCCATGGCTGAGTTGGTTACAGCGTCCGACTGTTAAGTGTGCAATCGGAAGGTCGTGAGTTCGAGCCTCACTGGGGCAGTAATTTTTTCCAATTTTCTCGAAATGGATGAGTAGGTACTGATAGTGGCATCTACAGCATCGTAGCCAGTGTGACGGAGGCCTTACAGCACCGGGATCTCCAGACATCGGGCCAGAGGTTGTAAGACATGATCATGGACGAAAGAGCCTATTCCTAGTCTGACAATAAAACTACACTATTCAATTATCATCGTCTATTTGTGGTTCTGAAATCCAATGAGCTAAAGAAACCTATCAAGCGACTTCGGGTTTGGCGTCGTCGGACGCCTTGTTTATCAAATCAGAATCTCCACTTTCTTCCAACTGAGTTACGCGCGAAGCTGCCAGGAACAGCGTCACAGATGCAATTATTGTGAAGAGAAAGGTGAACCAAGGTAGAATGGCCACTAGACGCACTACCTCAAGCATTAGCACACAATAGATTTTCATGCATTGCCGGAACACCCACAGAAATGAAGATCCTTGTATGTGCTTGTCAATCCAAGTGCTCCCTCAACGGTCTTGACAGCTTCTTCCGGAAGCGAAACACCGTCTATGGACGCATAGACTTTGGCGCCACGCGTTGCGTAGAACAATGTGTAAGGAACCAAGACCGAGAATAACCAAACGGCGCAGAACGCGAGGGAGGCACCTTGAAGACGGAGCGCGGTTGGAGAAAGCGGGCCACGTAGTTGAAAGAAAATCAACAACGTGCACGAGGCGGCGATAAGAGCAGATATGCTTGTGGCCACAGCACCAGATCGAAATACGTCTGTATAAAATGTGAACAAACCGCTGAGGAGACGAGGTCGGCGGGATAGTTACCATTATCGTTTATGACGACGATCGTGGGAGAGGGAACTACGTGCTTTACATGGTCCTTCAGTTGATTGGACTTGACCAAGGCATTTATTTCTGCAACGGCGATCAGGCCTTTTGCGAAATGAAAACAAGAAAGTAACACTTTCCAGCACCAATCGCCACAAAAGCCCACGACCACGCAAGACCCAGAACCACCAAGCGGGATATCCAGAGGGGCGAATCGAACTGTGTATCTTTCATGATGTAGTAGGTGTCGCTTCAATAGAGTGAGGATGGAAAACAAAAACAGGGCGTGGAATGCGGCGTCGGGATGGGCCCACGCCGATGGTCAAGATACCCGTATTTATACTTGGGCACGATATGGAAGGATGACCGAATCGGCTTTAACTTTTGCTCATGATTTCACCGTGGCGTTGATCGACCCCCGAATGACCGGACCCGATCAACGTCAGTCCCAGTACCACCGCCGGCCCACATTTCCAGACAGTACCAGCGCGGAACGCGTGGAGAACATGGTGTCGCGAGCGCTATGCTGTTTGACGTTTGGTAGACGCGTAACCCGATCCCCGAACCGCATTGACGTGACCAAAGTTAGCCCGAGAGGACGCCAGACGACGTGCATGAAGCAAGTTTAATTTTTTTTGAAAGATGGAATGAATGAATGTGACATCGCCGTGACGTTTGGCCAATGGAATCTTTATTAGGTTTGCAGTAACTTTTCATGTGGCAGTCAATCTAACGATTTAAATAACTCTCTATGAAATGTTCATGTTCAACTACACCCCGACATTCAACCTCTAAAAAATAAATACATGCAATAACAAGTACAGAGCCATGAGCTGTGGATTGAAACATACATAGTCCAACATCACCAGAGCGATAGCATTAAAAAGAACATAACATTGATCCCAACCAGGATACCGCAACCGCTATCGTCCCAGCTCGGGATTGAACTCGAACTATGCGAGGGAGATGTAGTTGACGTTGCCGTGACAGTCGCCACGCCATTTGAGTTGAGCGAGCCGCCTGTCGGCGATCCCGTTGGCGCTGATTCTATCCGGGCTAGCAAAAATCACATCGGATCCGTCCACCTCCATCTTGGAACAGGGACTCACAAGGAAAGCTTCCTCCATTTTGAACTGCGCTGTTTGCTTCCGCCTGCAGTTGCTCCCCTGCATCTGAAGGCACAGTTGATAAGAAGCCCATACGTGCCGGATCATAAGAAGGGTAACTCAGATTCCCATAATAGTAGGCCGATAGCACACTGCGGACTCGTCGTTAGCCGTTAGTGGTCAACCGATAAGCTTACTTGCCCTTTCAAAAACGGAGCTCCCAAGCTCCAACTGTATAAGAATCTACCTACGACGGGCGTATTTGCCGTCGACAACGTCGCCGCGCACATTGACACGTCCACCTGTTGAATTAGGTCCCTTGGGTCGACAGGAAACATTTGGCCCCCAATGGAGAAGGCCAGGGTGTGCGGCTCGTTACAGGGAAACTGGGGACCTAGTGTGGAGGTAATAAATTCAACGACATCAGAAGGTCCACGGATAAAAGTGTTTCCCTAATTATAATAAGCAAAAGACGGGGTCCAGCAGAGAAATCTCACCGTGTCAATAAGAGCAGACAATTCTATATCTGGTGAGGATAACTGTGAACGTGGGAGACGTTGACCGTCGAGGTAAACATCATCTAAAAACACTTCCCAGGTCATGGGATACACCTAGGTTCACGATTTCTTAGGCTATTTTCAGAGACTAAAGTGGTAACCAACGCACCTCATGGGGTGAATTGGAAGGAGCTCTGAGACCACCCTGATCAACTGTATACCCCCGAATCGGAACCCATGTCAAGCTCCCGTTTTGTACGTTCGCAGGCAGCTGCCCGATATTCAAAGAACCCACGTTTCCACCAATTTCAATGGTATCGCGTTGGAGGGTAACGGCGAAGAGAGGCTCTGGGAATGAACCAGTGGCCACAAGTCTAGCAATGAGTGGCCCGATGGTAGAGAATGACGCTAGAACAGCACTGGTAGTCGATTGCGATGGATCATGGTTTGATCTGCGGCTCAAGGCAGGGAAAATGGGCGGGTTAAGGTTGGATGCACTTCTAATCCAATGTATATCGAGTTTTGGAGGATTCGAACTTCCTGCATCGGGACCCGGCGTCGGCGAGCTCAAGACATCGTGAAAAATTATGCTGCAATATTTTTTTCACATTGTAGGCGCATATATGCCTATTGCTACACATACCTGTTTATAGGAAATCCAAGGCCGAGTATACCCGCTGAGCCCGTTTCGCTGACAGTGGTATTTGTACTATTGATAGCAGCAAAATACTGTCCGGGAAGAGACAATCCTGCCACAGAGACAGCATCCGTACCTATTAGCCCAAACGCGCTCGTGCTAGATGAGGACGAGCCGTAAAGGAGCTGTACGTCTAGACCCGTAGAATTGAATGAAGATTGTGGGTACTTGGCGACGTTTCCGCACCCAGTCGTACAAGCGTCTGAAATGACCCACAAATCAGAAGATCCTGTATCTATTTTGGGACACCAGTCAGAGACGATAGTAGAGGCAGGTAAAACCTACCGAGCACCACAGGGACTGTTGTGCCTCCAATTGTCACTAGAACGTTGTATACGCTATCGAAAACACTTCAGTTCTTCAAAAGGATGGTATGATACGAGAAACGTACACGTCCAAGTAATCGCCCAACCCAATTGCGCCCGTTGAAGCCCCACGCCTGCGTTTCCTGCGGTTTGGCGCGCCCAGGCTCTTTGTAATAGGCAAAGAGATGCCTTGTCTATTGACGCGGCCGGCAAAGTCCTGATCACGTTTATGTTGGTTTCCTTGCAGGTCTTGTCCCTTGCCGCGACAGGCGGGTAGCAGTAAAAGTGATGGCAAAGCAAGAGCTAGGGAATAGAGGCCTCGCATGGTGGCCAAGGTCCCGTAGTGTAATTACCGAAAAAAGGATTGAAGAACTTGGATCAGGAGGAACGTTAGAGGTTATGGCGGCGGTTACACGTTACAACATTTTGAACTGTGAACGCGTAAACATGTTCGAGGATGGATGGCATGCGTAAGTGCTGCGCATTATTTTTGGCATCAGGTCCGACTACCAAAGTCCCACCCTTGCCCCTTTACATAAATATATATTCGCAGTTTGGTGGCGAATGGGTTTTCTGGCAGGACACGTCGTAAGTTGGTGTTAATGCTTAATCCGTTCAAACTCGGATCTTTTTCTCGCATTCACCATGGATGGAGGCTCAGACTCAAACGCGTCAAACTACGCTGTGCCGTTTTATTGCCCTTTGTCGTTAAGGAGAATGACAATGCGCAGCCTCAGGCCGCCACAACCTATCGTAATGCGTCAAATCCGTAGAACCAGGCCAAAAGTTGTTACTGCCAATGCTGGCCTCTTGCAAGGTATGATGGTTGTTTACACCAGACAGGACTGATTAAGATACGCTTAGTCGCATAGTGATGGTAAAGGATAGAATACAGCGAAGTATACAAGAGACGAGGAATCATTTAGTCATATCATGTAACCACTTCGTGCAAAATATCACAGCAAGGATTATAAAATATACTAATATTCCGGGAGAAATCGATAGTATGAACAAACCAACTACGAATCGGCTCCAGAAAGTTCCTAATAGTGTCAAGAGTTCCGAATTCATAAATCGACGAATGGTTCCTGGAAGCCGCACTAGGGCCACCCGAATAGGATGTATATGATATTTCCCAGCACGTTTCTTATCCTGAAAAAAGTCATGCAGCGAACGATGATAAGTCGTGACGTATGAATCCGAGATCTGCAGAAGCGAATACATCTTGCGTAGCTTTAATCGCAAATTGTCCTCGCAGATTCGTCGACGTCGACAAATGAACTTTATGTCGGGTCTACCGAGGGCAATTATGAGTACAAACACGTCCCTCAAAAACTTGACGTCTGGTTGTCGAGAAAGTATCTGTATGTAGAGTTGGTCCAGTTGAGTGTATGGCGAGGACGATGTGACTGGGCGGAGCTTTAATATGATGGCGAGTTGCTCTTTGGGATGACAGTCATCATCATCGACGAACTTGATGACGGTTGATGCATATATGAATTGACCCGACGCTTTGGAGACCAAATGGTGGACATCTTCGTCGGATGGGAAAGACGAGATGTTACGCTTCGTAAAAATGCGGAAAAATT